TCCATAAATACAATAAGTCAAAAAAAAACAACAACAACATTTGTTCACATTCACATTGAAGACAAATAGATATGCTGCATTAAATAGATTTTATTTATTTGAAAAAGAATTTGTGATCATCTCTATTGTGTCCCAAACCATTTCACGTCACTATACAAAGTTAGGTGAAGAGCCGGTCAATTCGAAAAACAGCTTTTCTACTCTCTTTTACAATTTTATATATATATGTAAGGGGCCTCTCTCTTCTCAATGAGACATTAAACCGAACATGACCCGATTAAACTTAACCGGGACTATACCGAAAGTCTCAAGAATGTAGTAGTAGAACACAGAAAGTAACAATAGGTGTGATCCCTATCTGCTGCACATTGGTGATTCCAGACAGAAACAAAACAGAGGAGAAAACAGTTTGTGTTTAGAGTAAAGTTAAGGTTGTTGAAATATGTTCTCCTCTGCTTGCTTAGTTCTTTCTCCAGCTTGTGGAACAGGAATCTGTTTTACCTTATTTCACCAGAGATTGCGGATGTTTTGTGGTATGTATGTATGTAATAATGTCTTTCGCCGACGATAGTTATTCACCATTTTTCGACAGAGAAGAAGAAGAAGCTATTTTCGCCCGTTTGCCCAATTCCTGTTGTTCATTCCAGGTCTCTTGAGTTGCGGTTTCTGACCGCTACCTTGCTTTGGGATTGTCTCAAGTACTTGTATTGTTCTCTGCTTCTTGGCTGTCGCAAGATCACAAACATTTTGTTTGCTTATCAGTTTTTGTGTTTCAAGAATGTATTGAAAAACTCGAAACAGAACGAAAGAAAAAGAAACTGACCGTTCTCATGGTGTTGGTAGCTCTCTTGAAGTTTCCTCTTGGCAAACTCAAACTTTGCGTCTGCGTCAAGACCTTTAAGTTTCTGCCAAGGATAAGAACCAAAAACCATCAATTCCATGTCCAAGGATTAGAACAACAGAAACACAAAGAGATTTGTTCCCACACTCACTTCTTGTTGAGGTCCGGGAGCTTTTCGCTTATGTTCTGTAACAACCGGTTTCCTTTGGATCATAGGTTTTTCAGACTTGTGGACAGATACCGTTTCGGTCTTCATCCTTTGTTCTGTATTTTGCTTTAGAGGTCTCCTAGCCCCATCAAAATCAGTAGCTGATGATGGCTTACTAGACCTAAAAGGACCGTCTTGTATCCTCGTTTGTGTACCCTCGGGTTTTCTCTTAGAAATATTTTGTGGTCTTCTTTCGTGTTCTCGGCTTGTGTTGTATCCTCCAGTGTTATGAGGATCTGAAACAAACATCCCCGGGAAAATTAAACAACCGAATATAGAGCTAAAACATGGTGATATCAAACAAACAAGAGACTAGTTTAACTCACTTCCATCAAAGTCCAATGAATCAAAGAAATGTGAGATTTCAAATCCGTTTGGTTCTGGTGTAAAGATATCGAGATCATAAGGAAGAGATGGAAACGCTAACGCTTCTTCTTCATCAACGACAGACGGATTTGCAGACTCTGGTGTACCTTCAGCACCTGTTTTAAACAAGAAATTAGAACCAAAGACTATGGATCTAATTCAACAAAACCAAATTCTGTAAGACGCGAATCCCATAAGACAGTGACCATCGAAATGCGATACAGAGAGAGCGGAATTACCAGTGATTTCCTTTGTGGTATTCACCCATTGATCCACAAGCTCCTTCCACTCACTGCAACAAAACCGATCAAAAACTCAATGCCATATTCGAAAGTGTAAAGAAGTGCCAAAATAGTGTCTCAATGAAAGATCAAAACTCATACGCGATAAGAGTCTTTGCGAGTTGACGAATGTTATCGGAACCATGTTTCCTCAGACCATTAACAGCCTTTCCGATTTCAGTACTCTGCGAGAGAGAGAATAATCTCAAACCTTAAGAAAATCACTCAACTCCATACAAAACCTCAACAACAACTTCATACACCAGAAACCAACCTTAAGAATATCCACATTCAAAGACATCAACTTAAGCTTTCTCAACGACTCAAGAACCACCGAATTCGACTGCAAAACAACAAAAAGAGACACAAGAAAACAATCAGAAACAAAACACCTATTGATTGCAATCAAACAAGGATTCTAATCGCAAATTTTAGATCAAAACCTCGTCTTCTTTGTTGAGTAAAATATCTTTAATCCTACAAACTTCCTTAGAAACAACAGAGAATTCTTCAATCGCATCACTTAATGCCTCAGCTTCATCATAAGTATAATTGCTAACAATCTGATTACTATTAGCTTTACTCTCTTTACTACCATCAACCACCGTAACTCCACCGTCACCAACTCCTTTTCCACGGCGGAGATCAGCCTCTTCGTCGTCTTCTCCGGGAACAGAGAGCTCAAGGTGGTCGCAACCGATGCAGCGACTGACTCTACAAGAGAACAAAAGCTCTGCGATTTTGTCTCTCCTCGATTTGAATTTCGTTGGACAATCTGTAGCAGCCACCATGATCGCATGATCGATGATCTCGAATATGTCGGAATCGGAATCTCCTCGCCGGAAATACTCTCTCCACCTATCTAACGAAGCGGATTCCGACATCTTCTCAATAAAGATCGAAACTTTAATCGATTTTCTTCGATCCGAACACAATCGGATTGTTTCCTCAAAAGATTAAAGGAAAGATTTTTCCTCACAGAAGTAAGGAAAAAACCCAAATTTATCCCCAGAAATGGAAGGAAGAACAAATATTCGGATCGTTTCGATTAAAATCCAAAAGAGAAGATCAGAGAACAAATACTGAATCTACCCACAGGATTTGATTGATCACTTTTGGAGAAATTTTCCTTTTGTGTAAAGAAATGATCAAAGGAAAAAGATTTGTTGATCGAAAAGAATATATAAGGGATAAACACAAAATCTGTGGT